CGTTGGATCATTTTGATATTACACAGGCAACTTACAGCTTTATAGTATCCGACTAAAGGGTCTTGCCTGGGGATTTCATTAAATACCCAGCTAGTCGTTTGAAAAGTGTCCTATGTTCCCCAGTTTTATTCCTCGAGAGATCCACACCGCCAACTGGATGCAAGAGACACAAGGGTTGTGCACCATTCAGAACTGAATTGAGAATGCCTTACAAATTGCAGTTCAGTTCTTGAATTTGAACTGAATCTGAATTGAGGTAGCAAAGAGGATGCAGAATTAAAATTATGAGAGCTTTTATGTAGTTTCTAAAACGAATCACCGGTATAAAGAAAATTCTGTAGCTAATAATATATTTCACATATTCCAGTGCAGAAAAAAATATTCACAGAATTAATAAAAATTCCAATAGGAGGCTTTTTGAAATGAGTTTAATATATAATCAATATATTACAATTTTGATGTTAGCCGTGTTAAGCCGTGTCGGTCTAATGAAACTCCTCTAATGTCTTCAAATTCTTCAAGTTCTTCAATTCTGAATTTTGCCCAAGCCTGAGAGTCATATACAGTAGTGATGGACCAATATATCGACCAGGACGACCAAATGGCTGATAATGGCCATTTTTCAGATTTGATTGGCCAATTAAAAGGTGTTAATACTCGTTATGATTGTTGATAGATAATGTTATTTATTTTTTTATATAAATTTTGAGTAAATATTGTGCCCTTGTCACATTTTAGCAAATTTCTATACATCTGTTTTGCCATCATTACATTTATCATACCTATTATGGTTTTCAGGCATCCTTAAATCAAGACCAATTTACCTCAGAAGCAAAACTACACAGACAAATGCTTAAAAAAAAACTAAGGAAACAATCTGAGCAAGAAAAATAAATAGAATTCAAGATATATCCTTTGAAAAGCATTATATTACACAATTTTGCTTCAAATGTAAAGTTGTCTTGCTTAACTGATATTTTTTTTAACATTCTTAAAACAAGTCAAACATACAGAAACCCGCATATTGGTCAACCACTACATCATTTTCAACACTGCACATGTTTAACCATTCATGTCCATATAAAAAAATTTTTTAAAAAGCTGACAGAAGAAGAAAGATAAAACTATGAAAACCTTTATAATCGGTCTCCATGACAACCATCCATTTCAAAAGCTCACATTATCCACAACAAGATAACATCTCAGCACTGCATTGACCTCCTTCCAGCTTATCAATAAATCATACATAAAAATATCGACACACTGACTATTTTTCCACTCAAACAGACATACTGTATTCAAGGACAAACCCTCCCAATCTGGAGAGCGAAGAGTAACACTATGAGAATGCAAATGATCCAAGACACCTGCGGGTTAAACCATCGCCGCTCCAGCCAGGACCAGCAGAAAACCCTCCAAAAGATTCCCTCTTCTGATGACCACTGAGCGCCGTCAATTCATCAAACAATAAACGCCATCTGTACAAGAGATAAAATGCAGTCTGCTCCTCTTTATGGCTTTGGAGAGAGAAAAGGCTACATGAATACTTCTCCTCTTTGTCCTCCTCGTACTGTTCCAATCAAAACACTGATTGTCACATATTTGTGCTTAATCTAAATTGTGTTTATATATAACGTAGAGCAATCTCTTTGTACCGTCATCTGGTCTTCAAAGCAAATCCGATATTCTCAGGACTCAGAAAACGTCAAGTTTCAGGAAAAACAGAATGACGGCAAGAAGGAAATGACTTTCATGCAAAATACGAGGGGAAATGGAATGTAAATCGTCTGTCGCTACTGACGTATGCCATCATGCAATTTTCGACGTTGATTCCTTCAGTGTTTTTCAGCCATTCATTTCATCCTGGTCTGTGAGGGCCTGGTCGTTTCAAAAACAGCAGGGAAATAAAAGCTCAATTTTGTTGATTCTCGTAGTCCAGAATAGTTTTTTCGATTTTTTTTTATTTCACTTATATCTCCCCACGTCACTGGCCATGAGTTTCCATGCTAATAGAGCGCTCCATGCTTAATGTTGCATTAACCGTCAGGAGCTTTCCGCAGCCATCGGTAAAACTGTTGCTGGAACAGGACGTGCCATTTTACATTCGCTTGAACGATCTCAACGGCTCGAGCGAACGCAGGTGCCGACTCTCCCCCGCTGGTCAGGATGAACTCTTTCAGCTGAGGAGAGAATAAACAATTTTCATTATTAACATTATCATTGTATTGTGTCTTGATGTATCAGATCTTGTGTGTTTATGCGTGTAAGTGGCACCTTCATCTCTGACAGTTAAACGGCTTCAGAATATACGATGCATTTACATGCAAATTCCTGACATGTAATTCAGTAGATAACAATGATGTTTATGATAATGAGGTGTGGGAATGCAATTGAAGTAAACAGAATTATTAGTGTTGTTGTTTTATTGGAAGAAAAGGACACTTGGGTGTCTGTCAAAAACAAATTCTAACATCAATTAAGGGCATAAAAATCTCATCAAAAATCGCCATTTACTAAATAACATGTTACAAAACCGATTCCCAATTCCTGAGGTCATGAGGACTACATGAATGAATGTGCACAGGGATTCAGGATTAAAGCTGCTCTATTGCTCCTGAACTATTTCAAAATTGCTGTTCGTTCATTGAAACTTTTAAAAGAAAAGAAAATGCTCATTTCAAACACACAGCATTAACCCTTAAATGCATGAATGTTTTGCCAGTCATTACTACATATTTGGGTCTTTAGCGTTACCCGGACCTATATATCCAGCACAGATGGATCTCTAACTGCTACAATAGCAAAAATCCCTCTTGATATTTTAAGAACACTTCCAATGTACTGATTCAGCATCTGGCACATATTCGCGATCTCAAGTGTATTCTCAAAACTATCGTTTTCAATGACTTCAAAACTAGTATTTTGATTGCTGGCAGCTTATTCACCACATCCAACATCCAATGATAGTGACATTTATATTTCATTGCGTACAGTAATTGCTCTGCAGTAAAGCCATTCAAACCAGTTCAATTTTTGCTAAAGGTATTCTTTTGTTTTATGCCTGCGGTAATTATGAGTGAAACATCGCGTCATTGTTGTCTATCAAACAGTGCCACCTCGAGAAATAAAGGTGAATTGCATGTATTGCGTCATCAGATATTTAAATATTGTTGCGCAGGAAAAATATACTTACACTATTACATACCTTGGGTCTCTAGCGACCTCATACACTTTTTACAAAAAATAATCAGAAAACAGACATTCTTTTATATTTTATTATTTTTTTCTTGTTATATTGTTTATAATAAATAGATTGAGGAATACTAAAAATGAAGATTTATTAATTTTAAATTTAAAAAAATGGAGGGATAGGGTAGTGAATGACGTCCCAAGTCGCTAAAGACCCGAGGTATGCATTTAAGGGTTAAACATATCGCTGAATGTTCATTAATCTGTTGATGAAGTGCTCTGGCAGCAGCTGATTGTCAGTGACAGTATGCTAATGCTCTGTTTAAGAAAACACTGAGGGGGTTCGTATTATCTCTGTATGAATGATAAATTGTGGAAGGCGAAGTCAGCTGGATGAGAAAGTGCTGCGCTGCAGTGAGAAGCATCAGCACTCTGTGTCCTCTGGGACTGAAGCTGAATGAATTTGAATAAGTGAATATACGTTCCATTTCCTGGAATAAGGTTAAGCAGCTACAATGAGGAAATATCCCAACGAAATGGTCCAGAGCACAATTCTGCAGTCTTCAGAGTTTACTTTCTCTCACTTTCTCCATCTCAATAACTTGATGACCAAAGTTTGTTTGTAAGTATTAATGTTCCATGAAGATTCGTCAATAATTCATTACTGTTTTAGTTTGATTAGAGGTGCACAAGCCTCAGGATGATGTAAAAGTTCAGCCTCACCTCATTCAACTCGGCCTCAGTGTTGAGAAACTCTGTCACGCCCTAGCAGGTATAATTGTGACATTGTCAGCATAGCATGGCTATTTTCATGACTGATAAAGCAAACGTAAGGATTAGCATGTTCAAATAGCATACTAGCACAGTGGTGTAGTGGAGGGTACGCGGCGTATACCCACTTCTAAATCCCCTCTGATGCGCATCATTCATTAGTGTCCTGCATTAGGCAAAATCATGATACATGAATAGTTAATCCAATCGCATGTAAAAAATACAAATATTCCCTAAAAACACCCAGTAAAGACAGTGATGTGGTCAGGACCGTGGCGCCGTCTTCCTTTGAAATATGTTTGATGATTGCGCCTGCGCCCTCGCCCGCTCCGTCAGTCAGAGAGGATGCCGATTGCCAACAGTGACAGAGATGCTGCTTCTTCATTTGCAAGAGCATGTCAGGGGATGTGCGCAGAGTGGTAAAATAATAGTTAATGATATCGCAGCTTGACTGGTGCTTATTTATATTAAAAAGGTGGTCGGGATGGGGGGAGGGGGGATACATTCTGGATAAATTGATAGTTACGATTTCTTTTCATGAGGAGATCATGATTCTCCTACGAACAGACAACTAAACAAAATAGCATGTAATGTACTAGAGGTTCTAACAAAATGTTAATTGCTGCAGTCTATTTTTTAAAATTTGAATTATTGCAAAATCTGCACCTCTTCTGTGGCTAATTTTAATTTCATAATGATTCTTACTCCGTGAAGTCAAGCAGCAGAAGTTAAGTGACAATATACAAATACCACTGGCCCATTTTGAGGTGAACTAAATATACAAGACTAGTTTTACACATCACCGTTTATAACACATGGTGTTCATCCTTTGCTGGGTCACTTTAAATAAATTGGGGCATAAATTAAGAGTATACCCACTTCTCCAGGCACCACTACACCACTGGGTACATTGTAGTCAACATTTTTTGTAAAAATCCAGCACTCGAACAGAGGAATCGTGACAGCTCTACAAATCTTCACCACGACTCGAAATGCAATGCAAATAAGCAGAACTCTATTTACTATATAAGCTCCGCCCCTCACTTCCGTCCTGTGGCTGCAGGTTTGGCGCCGCTAGTGGAGCTGCGGGGTGCTCTACGGTGCAGCAGGATATCTCTCTTCACTTCAGGTGAGTACTGAAAGGATTTCTGAGGTGATTAAGCTAATTTTAATTTCATAATGATTCTTACTCCGTGAAGTCAAGCAGCAGAAGTTAAGTGACAATATACAAATACCACTGGCCCATTTTGAGGTGAACTAAATATACAAGACTAGTTTTACACATCACCGTTTATAACACATGGTGTTCATCCTTTGCTGGGTCACTTTAAATAAATTGGGGCATAAATTAAGAGTATACCCACTTCTCCAGGCACCACTACACCACTGTATTACAGTTTTAAGTATACACAATGTACACTTGACCTGAACTTAAATTTCTAGTGTGATGAATGAACAGGAAGTGATTGCAGTAGTAATTTTTTCCCCTTTTACTGAGATTTTTAGTCTGTAAGGCTGCAGGAACATCTTTAGGTAAATAGTCAGTGCGGAAGTGCGATCAGCTAAAACACACATACACACACACACATTCCAGTAGTGGAGAGGAATTATTTTCAGCCCACTGGATCACAGCATATATCATCGAAAGAAGTACAAACAGAGGAGGGAGATACAATTTACTTCATGCTATAGAAATCAATACTAAACACAGACTCCATACACCCCACCCTTCAGACTCAGTGATTGAAGCACATTTACTAGCTCACTCCCATTGATTCTTTCAAAGAAGGCAATTACCACTATAGAAAAAATTAATAGCTTCCTTGCTGACTGTAATATGATGAATAGTATCTAAACATGAAGATGAAAATGCATGGATGTAGAGCACTGAGATGTGTGCTTACTAAGTGTGGTGCTATTTATCTTCTTCCTCTAGTGAGGCAAACCACATCCCTCTCAACAGCCTCACACTGAATCCGTCCCACAGGAATCAGCCTGTTGAGTGCTGAGCACTCACTGCAGAGAGGGATCATGCTGGGTCTCTTTATATGGGAATGTTTCTTTCTCTCAGTGCATCCATAAAACAACGACCATATGCAACAGAATAAATGGAGATGTCGAACCTGCAGTGAATCTGCTTCAGAATATGTGTGGGCTCTGAGATCCTCATCTACTCTGGACGGGGTGTAACCCGTCACCGTCCTCATCCTACTATTGAGTTGGGAGAGGATTTAAGACACCGTGGAGACTTGTGGGAAAAGCTCCTACGGCAGCCATTGTCTTTACTGCCCCATCAGTGGAGTGAGTGCAGCTCTGCTGGTGTGAGTGACATGATGTGGAGGAGAGGATTGAATGGGATTCATGAGGTACAGTAGACTGCAAACTAAGTAGTAAGTTATAATCAGACACTTCTTGCTATCAATAAAATGGCAGACAGCCCACCAAAATCTTGAAAAAGTGAATGAAGAGGCTGGTGGATGGTACTGAGATTCCAAGCTAAAAAGAAGCTAAACATTTCAGCTAAGACTGATTGATAAATGTGTCATGCTTGAATTTCTTTGCTTTATCATGTCATTGTTAAGGAGGTATAAGAATATCGACTGACCTGTTGAGCAGGAAGATGTTGTCACTGCAGGTCAAGGCCTCCAGAAGAACCTTCTTCTCAGAGATGGCTGTAGAGGAGTGAAACTTCATCCAGATAAACTCCCACACATCCTCATCCATCAGAGAAACACCTGTGCAGTACACAATGTCCCGCACGTTGGGTGGAATCCTGCGGGACAGAGTGAAGACACAAGGTAAATATTCACAGATAATGTTAGTATTTAAATACTCGTATTTAACATTAACAACTGTATTGATGGAGCCAAAATCTTTTTAACTATTTACTATTTTCGTTTTACATAAATACAAAGATCGACTTTTAGAGTCCAGGGAAAATAGTGAAAATGCTGATACACTGATTTGCATTTCTCACTGTGACCAAGTCTGTTCATTTAATGATTGCTGAGGGTTACATCAGATTCACATGCCGTTAGATTACACTGTGTTCACACATAATTCTTCTTTTGATTTCTGAGAAATGCATTTTCCTGAAGAGAGAATGTTTCACAGCAGGAATCTGTTACGTCCTCAGGGTTGTTCAAAGATAGCAAATCACAAGTCAACCTTTCACCTCCAGCAGAATAAGTGAAAAACAGCGTGAGTGTATTTATATGTGTTTTTATTTGTATGCTTCTGTGAGAAGTTGATCTTTCTTTGGTAACACTTTAGATTAGGGAACTCTATTCACTATGAAATAGTTGATTGTTAGTTATTGGCATGCATATTTGCTGCCATATTTGCTGGCATGCTGTTTTTTAGTACTTATAAAGCACATATTAATGCCTTGTTCTGCATAACGTTTGTGTCTTGTGTTTTAGATCTCTTAACCCTATAACTACTACAACAACTAACTTACTTAGCATCAATAAGCAGCAAATTAGGAGCCTTTTGAGGGAAAACTCTTAGTTAATAGTGAATATGTGTTCCCTAAAGTGTTACCTTTTCCTTTCCTGTTTCTTCAGTTCTTTTCACTCAAAATGTATATGCACGAAAGATCATTTTAAATAAAAAGACACTCTTAGATTCAAAACGGACCACTTTGGTTCAAGTGGTCTTCTGCTGTCTGCAATCACTTCGAATCACGTCTTCTGTCACAGTGAAAAATCTCCATAATAACACCAGCTGATCTGATTCCATGATCTTTAGTGAGCTCATCATTTAAGTGGTGAAAATTTGACCCAAATCATTACTGCAGGCCTCCCAAAGTGAGTCACAGTGCAATATATAGTCTAGCAATATATCGGTCATAAGTAAAGGCCCGTTCACACCAAGCACGATAACTATAAAGATACAGTTCTAAAAATCATTCTCAATATTAAAGAATAGCATAGTTCACACCACAACTATAACGATAACGATACAGAGGAACGATATCGTTGTGATCACTTTCAAAACGATTTTTTTCCAGCTGATGAACGATAAAACACTGACAGCCAATCAGAATCCATCCTGCTGTAACGAGCTCAAGAATTTAAAGCGGCAGACGCATGTGCGCTTAGAATAAACAGACGATATCGTTCGCTGGTGTGGACGCTAATATCGTTATCTTTATAGTTATCGTTCTTGGTGTGAACGGGGCTTAAGAGCCAACTCTGGACCCTTGATATCATCTGGTTATAAATCTCAGAAAAGAATAACCGTCTACAGTAGAGCTACACAGAGACAAACGCATCTCAGGCTGTGAGGCGATGCATGTAATATTCGTACAGGAAGAAGAAATAACATTAAACCTCTGGAGGAGCCGCGGCGATACAGTGACTGAACTTTTGATTTGCTCAAACAAAGCGCAATAAAGACCTGCTGATTCTGGATGAGCCGTCGGAGCCTCTGGGAGTTTTCAGTGTAGCAATACAGAAAACGGCACCTCCAGTAAGATATGAAATCATGTCACAACCAATTGGAGCGTATAGACTGAAATTTCCACACCTGTGAAAGTGATGTCTTGTTTATGACTGCCACTGACAGGAACGATAAGTGAACTCAGAAACACAGTTAAAGAATAATATTTGTGGCTTTCCGTTAGCTGCCATGATTCTCGAATATATGATTTTCAGGTATTTTCAGAAAGAAGATGGGAGATGACATGAGCCATAAATCTAGTTTTTACTTCTGATATTGTAACCTGATTTTAAACGCTTGATTTGCCCTAATATTTGGCTGTGTGGAGGCAACACATTTATAATAGACGGCTGTTATGAGATTTTGTAAAAATTCTATATGTTTGTTTTGAAACAATGTACAAAGTTCTTTGAGTATTTTACATTGTGTGAGACTTTTTTTCAAACAGACTAAAACTGCACTTAAAAGCAGTTTGCCTTAACAGAGGTGTCTGACTTTAATTTCAGTTTTCTTTTTTTAGTCTGTGGTATCTTGTTTTTAATTAATAAATGAGGAGGACATGAGGAAGACATGAGGAGGATTTGTCAGCATTTTGTACAGTGATCTGAAGCCTGTCTTTGCAGCTCACAAACGCTGCCGGGTCATTCATGTGACATTATCATCACCTAAACCATAAAAAGACATAAAGGTCAAACACATTCCTCTTTTATGATGTGCTCATCCCTGAATATCAAACTGAACAGATTCTTTTTATTGTCCCAGTAGGACTGGAGGTCATTTTTGAAGAAAAGGACAGTGAAGGACACATCTGGCAGATCCAGACTTCTGCAGACAGGTAAGAGGCACGATTAAGAACAGTTATGTCACAATACACAATAATAAGAATCAAAAGGATAAGACTAATAATAACATAAAATCAGTGGAGAACAAAGACAGAAATTTCTAGCAGATGAATTTCAGAATTTCTTGCCATCTGTTGACTTTGACAGTCGTACACAAGAAACAAAATCATTTGTAATCAGTTAAAAGTATCTGCTAAATGCCTTAAATGTAAAAAATATCTCAAATATGAGTGCTTTCATGAGCTCTATACTCTCTGCCAGTGGATTAGACTAACCTGTCCACATGATGATATGTCTAGCAGGAGGGATTGTGTTCAGAGACAGAGTACAGAGACTTTCTGTGTGTTCTGACATGATCAGAAACCTCTTACTGGACTCCACGGGGTAATAATTGCAGAGCCACTGTCAGAGCAATTGAGTAGTTTCAGGCCAAAAGAGTGGAAAATCTTTGACTGAGCAGGTCAAACACTGGCTGAATCCAACTGAGTGTGTATTTTTATTGAAAGGAATATTAGGCCAAAAAGCTTTGAAATTGAGCAGCCCGCTTTTATTAGAGTCATGTTAGAGGCCTCAGAAATCATTAAATGCACATTATATGAAGCCAAGTTCAATATGTAACACATTTTATGTGTAATAAAGCATCTGTGTGTGTATTTAAGGTCTATCTGTCGATTTCAGGGCATGATATTAAAGAAGCCAGCAAGCAAATTTCCAGTGCGTTTGAGGTTGTCAATATGCAGTTTAGTGTGTGTGTGTGTGTGTGTGTGTATAGTCTTTCATGTGTTTGTAGGCATGCAGCCAACTATTTGGCTTAAGCACACAAAAAATAATTTCCTAAAAAGCGGGCAAACACAATATCTTGTGCAGGATAAAGCCGTTTCTTCAGACACACAAACACACACCCACGATCCTGTTTATTCTCCATTATGGTCATTAGTCCCTGCCGGTGGCATGGTGTGATTGACAGTGTGATCCTGCATACATGAATGTGAACATTGCTGTGGGAAGCAGAGAAAACAAATTAGATGAACAAATGCGTGTTGCCATGGACACTTGGAATAAAGCTCCTACTGTATGAATCTTGGCAGGGTTGATGAGCAGAACAGACCTCAAAGTGTCCACACTCCATCCAGCGCTGTGCCTCAATATTATCATAAAAATATCATGTGTGTTTGACCAAATCAAAAGGGACAACTCTGGCTGTCACTGCTGTATTTAGATTTTTTCAGGTACTTTTACTTAGGTTGAAGAGCAAAAGTTGATGCAGGTTTCCTGCAGGACTGTATTCATACAGTAATGCACAGAATCACAAAAAAAGGCCAAACTATTTTTGCAACGTCTTATATATTAAAATGGTATTTTGAAAACAAAAAAAATAACAGTTTTGAATGAGCATTTTTAACTACACATCACTAAACAAACATTCTGTTAGTAGCAGTCCAATCTGATTCAGTTAAGTGTTAACTCAGTATTTTGGGCCAATTTAGTGAATCATAGAGCTGTCTGATTTAATCCATGATTTAGACAAACTAATTTCTGAGTTTAACCAATTCGATAAAAAATACTGCCTCAACTGCCAGCAATTAATTGAAACCTCAAACACCATTATGGCACTTTGTGATATGTTTGTTTTTGTGTCAAGCCAGTGGGGAGAAACGCTGGGATTTAATAAAAGCTGTTACGGTACAGTGTGTGGGTGTCACTCTGTTAATTTGCTCACCTGTTCTTGTTGCTGGAAATCCAGTCTGAAATGAGAGAAACAGCCTGCCGGTGACAGTGTTTGTTTCCAAAACTGCAGGCCAGCATCATCACCTCTCTCTGCAACTCTCTGAGGAGGAAAGAAGGAAGTACATCAGCAGGAAGTTAAAGATGGAGGAAGGGGAAAATGAAAAATTAAATACTGTCTACTGAGGTCATTCCCATCTTCTGAGGTGAAAAATGTCTAGCTTAAACTTTACAATTCAGTGTCCTTACTTAGACTACATATAAGTTTATAACTGTAATATATAATTTAAGAAATATGAAATTCAAGACTCACTCGGTCTGATAAGCCGCCTGCATGAAGGAGCCCTCAGGGGAAGTGGCTGGCCAGCCCAACTTGTGATACTTCGGTTCCACCTGTCTAAGAACATAGTCCTAACAAAACAAAACAAAACAGAAATGTAAAGGGAAGCAAAGAAATTATTAAAGCAAAACATAACAAGAAACACAAAGTCATACAAAAACCAAACAAAAGTGCAAAACAAAAGGCAGAAAAGAGTCAGTACGGTTGCCATGTTGAGACCAGGATTTAAATTATTAGTTTTTTTTATTGTTTTGTTTTGCATTGTATTGTATACAGTACAAGTGTGTGTGTGTGTGTGTGTGTGTTTTGACTCGCCATACGGTTGAGGGAAATGTCGCAGCAGGTAATGTCATGGCTAATTTAGCATGACTGCTCTCCTTCATGCCCTCTTACTGAGACGAGTGAATGATCACAATTAGACCCTGCTATGCCGCAATTCAATTCTTAACACACACTTACACGGATAAAAGCACATAAAGGCTTGTAGAGGACATTGTTTTCCATACTGTGGCGGATCAGGTGCCTACAGCTTGTCAAGCTGTTACTACAGCAATTGAGTGACGTATTCTTATTTTGTCAACAAATTAATCTCAGTTTGACAATTAGTGATGCTGTGTTTGTGTGTGAACGGGCCAAAATACACTGGCCAGCACACGCACACACACAGAGGGGTTTGGTCTGGCAGGTTGAAACACCTGGTCACATGACTGAAGTGTCCTGGCTAATCTGTTCCAGCTGTTTCCTGTCTTGCATTACATCCTAAACATCTGCTCTGTCTCACAGTAAACACAATGATGGAGAGAAATAGAGAGAAGAAGCTATTAAATTCATCACACTCTCACTGCCGACACTAAACCATCGTCCATTACAGAGGAGGGGCAGAAATGACTCATGCGCACTGAGGGATTGTGGGTAGGCGTTTGAGTGATATTCTGAATAACAAAGTGATAAATGAATAT